AGGTTACTATAGTCATTTGCTGCTGTAAATTGTATGTCTACTCTATTCCATTGATCTACCTTTCTACATCTTAGCCAGTACCATATAGTTTTGATAATTACTGCCTTATAATATAGTTTAAGATCTGATACTTCTTAACCTCCTTCCTTTAAATTTTTTTCTTAAGTTCCCTTGATGTTCTTGACCTTTTGTTCTTCCAGATGAATTTTGTTATTATTTTTTCTAACTCAGTAAAATAATTTTTTGCTAATTTAATTGAAATGGCATTGATTATATAAATCAGTTTAGGTAAAATTGTCATTTTTATTATATTGGCCCTGCCTACCCATGAACAATTAATATTTCTCCAATTATTTTATATTCAGATACAACTGAAATGACTGAATGATGACTCTGTGTCTTAGAGCTATAAGTATCTGAAGCTGGATTTGAATTCTTGACTGCAGGCCCAGTGCTCTATCCACTGAGTCATCTAGCTGCCCATAGTATATAATAGGATTCTATTTATCTACGTATCTTTCTATATATCTATCTGTCTGTCTATCTGTATGTACATACATAGAATAGGATTCTATGTAGAGAAAATTTATATATGTGTGTGTATATGTGCGTATACACACATATATAATCTCCATATAGATCTCTATAAATTCTATATCTATATATCTATAACTATGTCCACATCTATATACCCATACCCATGTTTATCTATCTATTTGCATAGAGACTAGCCCAGGGGAATTGTGAGACTCAAATGAGATAACGGCTGTGAAGCATTTTGCAAACCTTAACATGCTATGTAAATGTCATTAATTATAATTATCATCATCACCAATGTCATCAGACCCCAGTCACTAGGTCTCCAGTCTGGTGATGATTTCATTCTCTGAGCCTGCTACTGAGCTCTTGCTGAGCTCAAACCATACTTAGAGAGCTATACAAAGGCATACTGGTTAATATTTAACAATTGGGGGGAGGGGATATGTATGCACAGACACACTTTTAAGTTTAATCTGCATTATTAACACCTTCTTAAGTAGAGATAATCAATACAACAATAATGTTGCAGGTTTCTCTGGTGTCACACCAAACATTTAAAGTTGGGCAAGCCAGTATGAGCTGTCCAGCACATGTCTAGACTCAACCAATGATTTCATTGATATTTGGAACTCTGCAATTTATAATCTTAGAGAATTGTCTCTATCAGTGAAAAGTTAAGTGACTTTCCCAGAGTCATACAGTCAATACAAGTCAGAGGTAGCACTTGATCCAGGTCTCCTAGTTCGGAGGTCAGTTTTTTTTTCTTTTAATCTGCGGCATTCTGTTTTAGGATGATAGATTTAGGGCTAAAAGGGAACTTAGAGGTCATATATTTCAGCCCCTTCATTTTACTGAAAAAGAAACTGAGCACCCAATGGGGGTAAATGATTTGTTCAAAGTCACATCAGCATTAAGTAGCAGAATTTAAATCCAAATCCAGAACTCTTTCTGCTATATCACATCATTATCAAAATTCAGGTTTTCTTAATAATGCATCTACCCAATGCCTGCAAAGTGTGTGATACATGATAAATCTCTGTCTCCACTTCAGCTTATCTTCGTCTCTTCCAGTTCTAAGTCTATGTTATGACTCTCTTATATAAGTGGCACACTCAGAATTAAAAAATTCAGTTCCTGTGACTCTAAATACAGCATGTTCCCTGCTGTATCACATCTATGTAATAATTCAGGTTCTCTTAACAGCACATCTACATAGTGAATGCAATGTCTGGGGACATAGGAAATGAATCCACCCACTCACCCATCTATCTATCTAAATATCTATCTATCTATCTATCTCCATCTTTCTCTAAATCTAGCTCTAAATTTATGTTGTGATTCCGTGGCATGGAAGTACAAATGAAGGGAACTTGTTTGAAATGTAATAGACAGGACTTGGCTACAGTGAATGTTCTTTAGGGTTTTTGCAATTGTCGGTGACACCAAATGATGTTAAGTCTACCACTTTCTTACCCACAAACAAAAATCACAACTTCTGGTATAAATGGCTGGGGAAAAATAAATTTTTTTCACAATTTCAGGAACTATTTTGAGCTGCTGGATGAGAAAATAATGACACAGAGACTTTAAATCATTCATCCAACTGCCAAGGACTTAATGAGCATTGCTAATATGATTATAAAGTCATGAATAGCAGTCTTAAACAAGCAGGACCTTAGCATTACAAAATAATGAAAAAACATGGGGTGTCTCAAGCTGTTTCGATTGCCATCTCATGTAATCAATGATATTAGTGCCAGGTGTTCAGGGAGGCTGACGTGGGAGGGAGAGAGGGGTATAGTAGGATGGGGATGGCCAGTTGGGTGTATGTGTGGGGGGAGTGGAAACATGTGTCTAAAAGTTCCAATTTGTAAGAAACTCTGTTTCCTACATGTTAAAAAGTCATAAAAGAATCAGAAGGGACAGTGGCACTCTGGTTCATGAAACCAGAGAAAGTCTACTGACTCCCTTCTAAGTACCAGTTCCTGCTGAATCTTTGTTGAATGAGGAGCCCTTCCAAGTCTTTGCTGGTTTTCACCCTTCCTGGTTCATCTTTCAAAAGAAGTCAGCCCCTATTCCACTACCAGTCTCTCCTGTCCCTCCATTCCTTTATTTTCCTGGAAGAGAGGCTGATAGTGTCCCATGCCTTGGTTTCTTTTACTGAAAGGTGGGGATTAATTGGGGAAACAATTTTGAGTTTTGGAATGGACAAAAAGAGAGCCCCTTCTTCCCTCCCCCACTTTTTATATTATGAGTGTGGTTTAGATGAAATATGGTCCTTGTCATCAACAAAATTACAATACAATTCCACTGAGAACTAAGCCTGTTCAGAGTAATTCATCTATGAAAATGTGCACTTCAATTGTTACTCTTGGCAGTGGTCAAGGAGGACAGTGAAATATTATGCTAAATATCGCCACGTGCAATAGTAAAATGCAGTTTCGTTCTGGCCAGAAATGGTACACAACCCTACCGTCCCCCACCCTCTTTATGCTCAGGTTTGGATGTTGTGATTTAATCTAAATCTTGTGCTTTTCCCCTATCCAAAACCAACAGAGGTTTAAAGAGAGCTTCATTTTTTATTGGAAACATTTGCTCTGCTTAAGCTGCCAAAAAATAACTAAAATTGGGACTTTTATTTGGGTTAAAGTTGATTCCTAAGCTCTATAGAGGTTGATGTGTTTAGTTTAGCTTCCTTCCCCCATAAAGTCTGCTTTCACAGGTAAGGTTAGGTTCAGGGGCACCTTTTATTCATCCTAATCTTCATAGAACTCTGAGATTTACATAGGAATTGGTAGCATATGGAGTCATACAAATATTTTAAAAATATGAATTGTGGTCTGCCCTACAGCACAGTGTAGTCAGTCTAGTTAATTGGGGAGTGGCATTGTTTAATGATCAAAGACAAAGACCATTGTGTCTTTCATAGGGAAGTGTTTAAAATCTCTAAATTGAAATATTTTACAAATGCAGAATCAATCAAAAATTATGTTTTTTTATTTCATTAATGCCTGCATGTCTCTGAAGTTTTGATTTATAGCCACATCCTTATTAGTGTGAACAATGAATCCCATACAGTTGTCACATATATTCAAATTTGTACTATTTGAAGGTATAATTATGTAAAATGTGGTCATTGGTTCCAGTCCAATGGAAATAGGCCATGAAAATTCAAATAATGTGTCTATTTCAGGGTATTCATTATTTGCACTGGCCTGGTTGTACTCTTAATCTATCCATAATCCATATTTTCATGTTCATTTTCTGTATGCACATTTGTAAAATTCAGATACAATTCATAAAATGGGGTCCTGAAAACATAAACTTGTGTGTGTATGTGCACCAAAAAAAACCCCAAAACAAAAAAGTGATAAAGAATCATAGAATTTTAGACCTAGAAGTAATCTTAGAAATTGTGGAGTCTACTCATGTCATTGAGGAAACTGAGATCCAGAGACGTGAACTTACTTGCCAAAAGTCATACAACTATTCAGTAGCAGAGTAGTAGCACTAATCTCCTAATTCCTAATCCAGTGCTATTTCTTCTATACCATACTGTATGTATAGGAACACATCGCAACCCCTAAATACTCATGTAGGATTTTCTAATCATTCTTATGTACTTTAAAACTTTAATAAATGAGGTTATAGATATGGTTAAAGAAATTATGAAATATTTAAAATCAAAGATATTAAATAATTGGTCAACTACATTAGAAAAATGCACACAGAATATTCTTAGTTGAGATTTCATGACAAACATAAATAGAGCAATGGTTGATGAGATGGATAACTGTCTAATGGCTAGCATATAGATCAGAGTCCATATCAGCTAAAGGAAGTAAAATTGGTTACAAGATTGCTTTATAGGGTTTCTAAAATTATACTTATAACTGAAATTATGAAAGATTAAAATGTTTCAAACTTCAAAGAGATTTTATGAAGACCCTAATCTACTCTTTCATTACTATTCAAGGTAACTTTTTGTGAATGGTTTTTTTTTCTTTTTTAAGGGAAGTTTGATGCTATGTAAAAACAAAATCTTTTGAAAAATAGTTAGCATAGCCTAAAGAGAGCTATAGTGAACCAGGGTTAACTGATAAGGCCACTTATTTGGAGCATGTTGACTGAAAATATTCGGCAGAGAAAGCAGGTTTATAAACATGCTCCAAATACTCTTCCAAAAATCATTCAAATAATGTCAAAGAACATCAGCTCAGATGGAATTCTCACGGGCCAGCCATTACTTAATATTTTTCTGATTATTCCAAAGGTTGACCAGCAAGAAGAAATTAAAGGGAATTTGTCTCAAATTTACTGAAAGATTAAGAGCTCTATGTGCCAACACTAAATTTAAAGTGTCTTTTGAGGGGTTCTGTTTCCTGCTCCCGTTTTAAAATTGGAAAAAAAATTTAAAAATATATTTTGCCTGTGACAGTGAATATGAAAGAAGTTCTCACCCTTAAAACCAGCAGCATTGGTTTTCCAGTCATTAGCGCTCAAATGTCCTGCACGGGAAGTCCTTACAATAACATGCTGCACATCTCTCCAGGTCAGAAACGGACTGGGAAAAGACAAGGCAAGAATCATTGTACCAAAAAAAAAAAGATGGGGGAAGCAGAGAGTCACAAGCAATTCAAAAAGCAAAATCAAAATGGCGGAAGGACTGAAAACAATGGATTGGGCCTTTCTGTTTAGGATTAACATTCTGCTAAATTCTCTATCCATTCTCACTCAACATGGAGAATGATATTAGCTTGTGAGTGGGCAAAAAATTGGCCTCTGAATTTAAGAAGCCCCTGTATGTCATTTGATAGACCCTAAAAAAATTAAAAGAAAATGCCTCATTAAGTGTATCCAACCTTAATAAAACAGGCCCTGAATGATGCATCTTCATCTGTGCACAAGGGTCTGCACTAGTCAGTGGCAAATTACATCAAGGTTTTCTTCAAGGCATCCCTATAGAGGTTGACAATAAATTGTCTTTTTGTAATCATCAATTGCCCAAACCTGCACTTGTTGATTGGGTAACCAGGCAAATGGATTTATACTGCCCATGATAGCTTTGTATTATTTGTTTATCCATAGGCAGAAAGTGATAAATAATGGAAAATGCCCAGTTGATCCTTCTTGGCAGGTCAATGAGTTTTATTCAAGAACAGAAAAGTTTGGTATCAGACTCTGGGCTTCAAGGTACCGTTCTACATTTTTGGGAAGGCTTACTTTATTTACAATGAGATGTCTTGTTTTTCTTATTACATTTTTAAATCCATTTGCCATAGCATACAGACCTAATATATAATAGACAAGGAAAGGAGATTATTTCTGATGGAGAACCCCACTAATACTAGATATCAAGGGAAAAAGAAGTCCATAGTTCCATGATTGGGGCTTTCTTCTAAGGATATATTTAATGTAGCTTTTTAAGAAGTGAAAAAATTTCAGATGTGTTTATAGATACATCTGAAGGATGAACTCATGGTGTCCTACAGAGCTTTTACAAGTAATTATAACATCTGCGGTAAATTGGTGGTATGGGGTCATAGCACAGAGATAGCCCTTTCTCAAAAGGCACAGCTGCCCTGGGAGAGGGGAAGGCCTATCTCCCAAATAGTCTGACCCCATCCTCGTTGGTGTGGCTAACAAGTAAACTCTCTTTCCTCCCTCCTCCCCACAACATATGGGAAGAAGGAGTATGGAAGTGGTAGTAGGTAGAGTAAAACTAAGGGGGAAAGCATTGTTAAAGAGATGAGTTGATCCTCAGGAATGTACCATGTGACATGGAGGCAATCTCATTTTGTCCTAGGAGGCATGAGGACAGAAGCCTGGAAGAGCACTTTAGGAAGAGGTGCTCCCCACCCACGCTCAGATATCAATATAGGGCAAAACCTCAATCATCCTGACTTTGTTACAGCTCTTTTCTCTCTCCTTAGAGATCATAGGGTTATAGATTTAGAGCTAGAAGGTTAATTAGAGTTAATTAAGTCCAATGTCCTCATTTTACAGATGAAGAAATCAAGGCACAGAGAAGGTAACATGGCTAAGTATTTCAGGAAAGATCTAAACCTGGGACTTTCTGACTCCAAGTCCAGCATTCTAGTCACTGTACCACTCTGGTGACTAAAGAGATTGGCTGTGTGTGTGTGTGTGTGTGAGAGAGAGACAGAGAGAGAGAGAGAGAGAGAGAGAGAGAGAGAGAGAGAGAGAGAGGAGAAAGACATGTATAGGTCCTACCCTCCCACTGTTTGACTGGAGAAGAATTAGATTTGATTACAGAAGAAAGGGCTGGGAGCTTAGGGAAGAGGAGAAATTTACTACTCTAAGACATCATAAAGGAACAAACTATAGTTTGTGCACCTGAATAAGGAAATATATATCTAGGTACTAAAAAATCTTAAGTATTTTTTTAACTCTATCTCACATTGTTTCCTTGAATATTAAAAAAAAATATTTAGCACTCCACTTATGATTTTTATGTACTTGATACGCTGACTGTATTTGACTAGTGATTATAACCATAAAGGTTAAATGCACAGCTATAGTAATATAGAGGCAATATGATAGAGTAGATTGGGTATTGGTCTTGGATTCGAGAAGACTTGGGTTTGTATCATATCCTCTACACTTACTATATAGGTAGCTTACCCTTGGTAAAGTCATTTGATTTCTCTCTGCCTCAGGCAACCCTCCTAGTACTTAACTACTAAGTCAGAGTTCCCTAAGATCCTTCCCAAATATGTAATTCATAGATCCAGAAAGGACCTCAGAGGTCAGCTGGCCTAATCCTTCATTTTTCAGATGAGGAAAGGGAGGCTAAGGGATATTAAGTGACTTGCCCATGTCTATACAGGTAATAAGTGGCAGAGACAGAATTTGAACCCGGGTCCACTAAAACCAGAGCCTGGGCTTTTCCCACATTACCATTGGTTACCAGTACTTTCTCTCCTTCTAAATAATAATAGAACTTTATTTTACCTCTCGTTCTCTGTCTGGTATGCTGTTCTTGGTTAACCTATGGAAAAGGGAACCAGCAGGCAAGGGAATGTCTTGAGGAGAATTGATATCTTTTTTTTTTTTAAAAGATTTTCTGGGGGGAAAAGCCTTCAGTAGAACTTCCATTTCTAAAGAGATATCTTCTACTTTTTTTTTAATTTTTAGTTTAACAAACACCAAATAAAGGGAGTGTTTCAATACAAATAGTAGAACAGAAAGAGAGGATCATATGAAACTGCAAGTCTCTTGCTTTTCTTTGTAAATATATAGATTTAACATGTAACTTTCAAAGCTGTTGTGCTTGTCCATGAATCCTTCTGGCCTTCCTTCTATTCTCTCATCACAGGACTACTCAGCATGGTGTGCCCACATCAGAAAAGGTGCTGTGCTCTGTGAGCAAAGCAGAATTAAAATATCTCAAGAGAAACGCAAGATACAGAGACTTAGAGAATCCACCCTAAAGGTTCACACAGATTATTTGTGCCTGACCTGTGGTAGAGCATTCCTGAGCTCATATTGGTCTGATCAGCCACAGTCGGACACACTAAACCTTGACTTTAGCATGGTGATGTCATTTTGGTCCTTTTTGAAAATGAAGGACCAACAACCAACCATTGAAGAAAAAAATGCTTCAATGACCCTTCTTTTTCTAAAGAGATCTGAAAGAGGAGGCTGAGAAATAGTATAAGGTTGCCAATGAATTACAAGACTAATAAGTGTATGATAATAATAGAAGTCAAATACACAAATTTGGAAAGTAAGGAGAAAACTAAAAGAGGGGATGTTTAGCATTTTACTCTGCCCCAGTTTTGCCATTAACCTCTTTTAGAATTAAAAACAGGGAATACTCTAATCTTCATAGGAGTAAGAAAGATAACTTGTAAGTGGATAGAGAACAGGAGTTAGGAGGACCTGGGTTCAAATCCCATCTCAGGCACTTAGTAGATTATGACCCTAAGCAAGTCACTTAACCTCTTTGTGCCTCAGTTTCTTCATCTGTAAAATGAAGGGTTTGTATTTGATGACTTCTAGGGTCTCTTCAAGTTTGCTCCAGAGAAGATGCTGGGATGATCCCATATGTGACAGGACCACTGAAAGGCTAGCCAGGTAGGGTTTCGCATATACAAATGAATAGCTTGTTCGGGACCTTTAACAATTAATTCAGAATGAGTTTAATAGCTTCGGTACATTAATGCCATTAAAATTGGAAAATAAGTCAAGGGACTGTTATGATCACTGATTCTGTCACCTAGTGATCTAGTTCCCTCTGAGATATAACTTTTTTCAATTCCCCTACCTCATATACAGATTTGTAAAAGTGCCTCCCTTCACCCATTTAAAAAAAAAGTCAGTTTAAGATGCAAAGAAAGTAAATTATAAAACAAGTAAGTTTCAGCCATTGGCTTATAATACAACACAATCCCATTAAACCAAGAATAGTACAATATTGTAATGTAATGTACTTTTTCCAATTAGGATTGGTTCAAAGAAAGTAACTAAAAAAAGCACTCCTGGATTTAATCTGAGGGATATCAGTTTGGGAATCTCCTTCCCTAAAAGCAGTAGTGGATAAGAGAACTATGTGAGACACATCTAGGTTTAAATGACATGCTCAGGGTCATATAACTAAGTCTTACTGACTTCAAGCTCAGCATTTTAGCCTCTTTACCATGCTGCCCTGGTTCATTTAATTTACATGTTGTTTAAATTTTTCTGGTGTTTTCTACCATATCTAGTATATATTTTACTCCACAAATCAAGATTCACTTATTAGGAATTTATCCCTTAAGAAAAAAACAGGCTCCCTATGTTACAAAACATGGTGCAGTGGAAAGCACAGCAGCTTTGGAGTCATTGTTAAAATATGGGAGCTGGCAGTAGTGTTTTGTTGCCCAAAAGAAAAAAAATAAATGAAGGGGGTCTTTAAATCCCACCTCTTACACTTACTACACATATGATTTTAGGTTAAGTCACTTCCTTTTCTCTGAGCCTCAATTTCTTAATCTGTAAAATGAAGAGATTGGACTAGATGACCTCTGGGTTCCCTTGCAGCTTCTGGATCTATGCTCCTATTAATTCTTACATAATTACATCTGACCTAAAGATAGTTGAATGTACCCAAACACCAAATAAAGTATAATATCTCCCATACTTTAAATAGCTGTAGTTAGTTAGGTTTGGGAAATCTCCTATATTCAACTTAGCTTGAATAAATGAGGCACTTCCTTTCATGTTAAGTTGCATGAACCAGTTCTTCTTAGAGTGCATGCAATTAGAAAGGAGAAATGAGGTTTAGGAAATTGAAACTGTGAAAGGAAAACAGAAGGAATTCAGAAGGGGTTAAACTGACATCATAAACTCCACAGTGTCAAAGTTGCCTGAATTGTATGAGAAAAAGAAAGAAAGAGAGAAAGAGAGAGAGAGGGAGAGAGAGAGAGAGAAAGAAAGAGAGAGAGAGAGAGAGAGAGAATGAGGGAAATAAATAAATTCAAAATCAAAGTTTCTACCTTGTCTGAAGTCAATCCATTAGCTCAGAGAAGCTTACATTTCTTAAATACATATATAATTAAT